TCAATATGCATAAGATTCATCAAATATATTTTGACTAGTGCAGTTATTATATATACCTTGTTTTAATATAACACAAAAATGAACATTTGGTGAATTGCAATGCATTAATATTTAATAATATATATATATAATTCATTAAAACAATTATCGTACACACATATTGGTGATATTAAGTGAGTCAGAATTGGCTCGAAGCCATAAAGAAAATAGGAAATGTTCAAAATCTACGTAACGCAGGAGAACATCGCACTATGTAGCATGACACAGTAGAGATATCTTATAGAGCTTGCAGTTATATTTAGAATGTCTAAACCAAGACTTGGAAAATGGCTCTTCCCTAACGTCCTCTCTTTCTCTTACTCTTTCTCTCTCTCTCTTTCTCTCTCTTTTCATCGTAACAAGATAGACATTTTTTTTTTTTTATTCTTTACTTTACGCTTTCAAATATATTCTTTACTAAAAATATACCTAACCATTATAAAATATAATTCATGAACGATAAACATAATGAACATTCAAATTTACAGACTGATACACTATTCTTGTTTTTATTTTATTGAAAAAAAAAAAATTCATATAATATTTTAGCATGCATAATAAGTAAGGAAACTTTTCAAACTTACATTCTGTTATTTTGTTATCAATAATATAGTTGTTATGATATGTACCTCAATATGAAATCTAGGAATTGTATACCAAATCAATCAACCTGTAAAAACGTTATTAACAATGTTAATTCAATTATAATTTGTTAACTTAAATTAATTATATATATATATATATATATTTTTTATTATTTATCTATAAAGTGTAAGATAAAAATATATATATAAAGAATTATATATAAGAGATAATTTTATATTCATACATATATATATATATATATAGCTGTATCTATCCAGTCATTTCCAACAATCTTGATGTTACCATAAAATGGGCGCAATATATATATATATTTATACATACATACATATATATGTCTACTAACTATTAATAATTATAAATATAATGAAAAAAAAAGAAATAATAAAAAAAAAAAAACAAACAAAGTTACAATGTTGTTGTTGTTGTTGTTGTTGTTGTACGATTAACATTTAACTTCAACATAAGATTAAGTATATAATTAAAAATAAGAATGTGTGAATATAAATCACATTATGTATTTGAATTTAATGACATATTTTCAAATAGAAAATAAATGAATGAATGAATGAAACATGAGTAGTAACATTAGAAAGAACAGTCAGAAGAATGGAATGTTAACACTCCTATCCTAAGATATTCTTAAATACCAATATCCATTCAAAACCAAGAATGAACAATGATTTCACCTAATACGCAATTGATAATGTCATAGATTGCGGTCATTAACCGCAAAACAACTGTATTGTTAAATGTAGTACACCATTTGAAGTTATTTTTTTTTTTTTTTTTTTTAAACTCAACGAACTTGTGATCAATTTCAATAAATAATTTCGGAACTCCTCTTACGAAATGGCTGATCAAAATCTCTTCACTATGTCACTTTGGTGAAATAAATATATCTGATTTGACTCACAATCCTTTATACACGATACCTTTATTATTGTATTATTGTTAAATCACGAAACAATGTAATTGTATTTAATTACTTCGATCGATTAATTAATAATTAACTGTGTATTATTTAATTCTTACCAAATCACTGACACATGTGCAACAATCACTTTACGCCATGTTTCTGGCAAAGCAGAGATTAAAACCCCTGGTGGTGGTGTGCGCTGCTGCCTGATATGGATAGGCAGTATTTTATTTGTGAACGCCTGGAATATACGCACAAATCTGAATTATCTTTACTGACCACACAAAGCACGTTACATTTAGAAATAACCAATCACTGAATTAGTTCTTCTTCTTCTTCTTCTTATTCTTCTTCTTCTTCTATTTCTACTTTTTCTTTTATTGTATTTCTTCTTTTTTTTTTCTTTTATACTTCTTCTTATTATACGAAACTATTTATATAATCGCACGCTCCATTTACATAAGTTTTCATCTCGACGCGTAGAAAAATATTGTCTACCTTTTGTCAATAATTCTTTTATATATATATATATATATATATATATATATATAAATGTATAAGTGAAGAGAATTTTTATTCCCTTCAATGTTTTTTATATTCGGTTGAAAACAAATGAGTGTTTTCATGTATCGTAACAATCGCAAATACATTCGATATATTGTAAATCGATCCAAAAATAATTCAAATTTCGCGCTAATTTATAATGCTTCGTTTACAATTTGATCATTTAACGAATACCAAAAGTATTTCAATTGATTATAATAATAAATAATTTTAAATATTATTATATTAAAAATATAATTTATTCGAATTGATTAATAATAATAATAATTTAAAAAAAAAAAATTGGACAATTATCACAGCACTTCTTATCTTCTTCCCTTTTAAGTATAACACAATCCTTGACCAAACGCAACAATTCAAGGCTTTTTAGTCGCCATGTTGTTTTGTCACGTGACGAGGTGGCAAAGAGGTGAATGCGCCGGGTCAAATTTATGAAGAACGGGAAAAAATTAACGCGTATTAACTGACACAATTATTTAAATATTTACGAAAATGGATCCTCGTAAATTAACGGAATTATTACGTGCTACTATTGACCCGACTCAACAGAAGCAAGCTGAGGATCAATTAAATCAGGTATTTCATATTGAAAAACGTGCTTCGGATACCTCCGATACTTCATGAACGAGACAACATGTGGCTTCGCTTTTGCCATTCGCTTCACTTCTTCTTCTTCTTTTTCTTTTTTCCTTTACTTAATTTTTTCACCTCTTTGCAATTCTATTATCTTTAACCTCTTATTTCATCTTTCACATGATTTTCACGAATATTTCGATTTTACGATCTCGCATATTCGATAAACAAAAAACTCTTATGCCCATGCATATTGATAAAAACGATTGGCAATGTTACCTTAACAGCCAATAGATTTGGCACATGTAAAATTTCATTGCTAAATTTTTCTATCCTCCTTTATCGAACATTTCGATATTAGAAATGTTCTTTCGATTAATAATATTATTTAATTATTTGTTTTAATATTATTTTCTTTTTTATTAAAATAACAGTTCATTTGACTTTTTTTTTCTTTCCTTTCTTTTTTTTTTTTTTAAACTAACCTCTTTCATATTTCCTTACTTTATATATTACCTTATGTTACATTATATTTTATGTTATTGAAAATATATATTGAAAAATATACATGAGTTTTTTTTTTTTATATAAATAATTAAATTATGTAAAATATAATTATTAGATTAATTAATTTTTCATTAACATTGGAGCACATGCAAAAATTTGTTAACAAATTCTTTTTTCTTTTTTTTTTTTTTTT